TTTGGGGTCCCGGAAGAGTTTTGGGCTCCCCGCGCTCTGATTGGTCGCTCCATGTGTCAATCACACTTAGCCCCGCCTCCCGGAAACCCCGCCGTTCCTCACGGACTCCGCGCTTCCCATTGGCTGCCGCGCCCGTCAATCACCGCCGTTCAAACCGGCGGCCCCGCCCTTTCCGCCGACCGTTACGGCGCAAACAACGCGCCCGGGCCCCGCCCCCCGCTCTCTTCCCCTCACGAATCCACCAATCAGCGCGCAGAGCCCGCCTTTTCCTGCGCTTCTGATTGGCCGTCCGAACAACCGCCCGGTTGTGATTGGTCAATGTCGAGATAGGCGGGGCTTTACGAGGCCGAGGTTATAAAAGCGGCGGCGCGGCGGGGGGGGCCCCTCAGCGCGGCGGGCGGGCGGCGGCGCCGGAGGAGGGACCGCGCTGCCGGGGGAGGGGGAGAGGGGGCGACCCCCGGCCTCCCCCCGCCCGAGGGGCCACCCCAACACCGCGGGGACCCCCCTGAGAACCCAGCGGATACCCCCAGGGAGCCGCTTCCTCCTCGGGACCAGCCCGGCAACGCCGGGGCCCAGCCCGGCGCCATGGTGAGACAGGCCCGGGAAGGGATTTGGGGGGTCCTGGGAGGGTTTTGGGGGGGTCCTTGTTGGGATTTGGGGGAGTTCGTGGAGGATTTGGGGGGTCCCGGGATGGGGTGAGGCCGTTCCGGGCCTGGTCCGGGGAATTCCGGCCTCAGCCAGGCCCGGGCCGGGCCCGGAGGGACGTGAGGGAATCTGGGGGGTCCTGAGGGGATTCGGGTGGAATTGAGGGAGATCTGAGGGAATTCGCGGGGATTTTCAGGGTTCGGGGGTGATTTGGGTAGAGTTTGCGGAGTTTTGAAGGATTTGGGGCTTCATGAGGCGATTTGGGAGAATTTAGAGAGACTTGAGGGATTTTCGGGGGGTCCTGGGGGAAATTGGGCGGAATTTAGAGGGTCCAGGAGGTTTTGGGGTGATTTTTGGAGGAATTCGGGGGAAATTTTGGGATTTTGAGGTGGGGGAGGATTTGGGGGCGGATTTCAGTGTGACTTTGGGGAGTTCTGGAGGGAATTTGGGGGGGTTTTAGGGGAAACTTAGGGGGATTTTAGGAGGAATTTGGGGCGTTTTAGGGGGGTTTGGGGGGGTTTTAAGGGGAATTCGAGACGTTTCGAGCTCTCCTCACCCCAAATTCTCCCCAAATTTTTCCCCCCCAGGAGCCCCGAGGCGGCGCCTGGCAGGTGAGTGGGGGTGGGGGGGGGAACACAAATTTTGGGGTTTTTTTGGGAGGATTTGAACATTTTGGGTTCAATTCTGACCCCCTCCCATATTTTAGGGACAGGGGGGGTCCCTTCGGTTCCTGCTGGGGTTTTGTGGGGAGGGAGCGATTTTGGGGATTCCCTTCTCTTCTTTTTTCCCAAATTTTGGAGATTCCCTTTTAAAATATTTAATAATTCTGGGGGCATTGAGGGGTTCATCCTCGATTTTTGGGTCATTTCTCACCGAATTCTGTCGCTTTTTCCCTCCCTGTTCGGTTTTTATGAAGTTTCAGGGTTTCCTTTGTTGTGTGTAGGGGGGTCCGGGATTTGAGGACCCCCCTGAACTCCCCAAATTTGCGACCCCTCACCCCGAATTCGAGTGCGGAGAACCTGAATCCCCCCCAAATTCTCACCCTGACCTCCCAGTTTTCACCCTGAGCCCCCCAAATTCTGACCCTGAACCCCCTAAATCAGACCCTGAGCCCCCAAATCTGATCCTGAACCCCCCAAATCTGACCCTGACCCCCAAATTTTTCTCCCAGACGTCCCACGTGGAGAACCTGCTCCCCCAGACCCCCCAAATTTGACCCCTGACCCCCAAA